AATGCATATGGAGTAAAAATGGATCAACAATTAAAAAATCAGCTTGAGCATCAACCTCAAAAAACTAGAAAGTAAATTTTAGTTTAACTAAAATTTAGAATATGTCTTAAAAAATTAAACTTCTTAACAAAATTGTGCGACAACTATATAAAGGACATCGTAATATAATTTATTGAACATCTGTCTAATTTAGCACAACAAATTAATAAAAATCATTGTTGTCTTGGTGCTTGGCATGTTTCATTTACCCATATTTGATAGCCATTATTTTGAAAAAAAATAGAATTTTAAATAGTAATTTTTTTGTTTAAGAATGTGCAGTTAAAAAGTAGAGAAAATTTATTAATTTACGTCCAAAATATTTTATTGTGTGTGATTGAAAATAAGTATAAAGATTAAAGAATTTTATTTTAAAAGAAGACAAACATATGTAAGTTGTTTAAATGTTCACTTGCGAACCGGTCCAATTAATTCAACCAGCCAGGTATGCTGTGTCCGGTTTGCCTGGTTCTCGGTCCGGCCAATTTTCAAACAGTGGACAAGAGTGCTACAAAACTAAAAGCTTGAAGATTTAAATGCTAAAAATTTAATATGAAAGACTAATCTTCTGCAACCGTCATAAGTTTTGAGAAATCTACTGCAACTAAACAAGGGAATGAGAAACAAGTTTTAGCATGTTTTCTAAATCAGTGCAACAAAACTGCAAACAATTTTATCAGAAGCTTTATGACTTGGATCCTCTGAACTTGCAGGGATGCCAATATCATTCAAAAGTAAATGAATAATGTCATAAAGTTTTCTTTATATCTATACATTCACAACTCTTATAATCAGAACACTTGCTGTTATACTAATATATTACGTGGATGACCCATGACATTTAGTGGAACCCAAACTTGATGACCTGAACTTTACTGCAGTCTTCTCGACAGCTGAGTCTGAGCACATATACCACCATAGAAATTTTGAACCGAAGACCAATCCGCATCTCTTGGTTTTCGGCCAGCTGAGGCAGCACATATACCACCATAGAAATTCTGAGCCGAAGACCAATCCGAGCCAGTTGTCTCTTAGGCATCTCTTGGTTTTCGACCAGCTGAGGCAGGGCGCATATACCTCCAAAGAATTCGTGACACCGAAGGCTGAGCTGAGCCATTAGCCTCATAGGCATTTCACAGTCTTCACTCTTCATGTCAGACCTCAATCTTGGACACTGTCAATGAAAAGGCCAAATGCTTTCCAAGGCCTACCTACTATGCTCTCTCTCAAGTGTAGTGATACCTTTAACTTATCTAGTTACTTTGCAGATGCTAAAACTCATGGCCAACAATGAACACAAAACTGAATCACAAGAACTATTAAATTTCCTTCTTAAAAGGCAAATGGTACAAAGAATTAGAGTAGCAATTTGAGAAATCCCAAGAGAGTGCAAAAAACTTATCAGAAGGATTTTAGCCCTGCAATCTGTCGGAATTTCTCATATGAGACCCAAAATACAAATTGCCAAGGACCAAGCCTAGCCCACGTAGGAAAAAATCCCTTCCACAGAGCCCTCAATCCTTCAATTCTAACAGTCTTCACAAGACAATCATAAGAATTCTTATATTTAACCTTGTTTTCATCGTTGACAGCCTGATTCATCATTCTTGTCTTAACTACATCTGCCGGACAACTCAATGCAGTAGCCGATAGACCAGACATAATCGAAGATAGAGTGTGGGCATAAATATTATCATTACAGATCTGATTTTTGATAACTAAACGTTTCGCATGATCATAACAAGCTAACTCTCCCATGTTTACTAAAAATGCTCTTTGGACATTTGGAAAAACGCCTTTCCAAAGTCCTCCAAACCCTTCTGCATGAAAAATCTGTTTTAAAGCAACAAAGATCCCCGAATACCGGGGTTGAAGACCTTGGCTCACCATACGACCGTCTGCTTGCATCCTTACCTTGATGAGATCAGCAGGGCTTGAAATTACCTATACTATAAAAATTTGAAATAATGAACATCTTATTAAAGAAAACTACAACTATTATTTGATGAAAAACATTTCAGCAAGATCATCATGACACTAAAATTCTGAAATAAACTCGTTAATATTACAGCAATGTGTAGACATTACTGACAAGGAATGGACATATTTCATTTTAACTAACTAAAAGTCCACCTGCGTGGCATGTGAACGAACACCAATGCTTAACCATGTATAGCTACTATGTTAACAAGGTAATTCATATTTTCTTATTCCCCCCTCACCTTTGATGCTAGATGTACAAAGTTAGAATTAGTTTGTAAACTATGATTGAAAAATGTACAAAGGGTCTAAAGTCATATTATTATTTTCATGTAAGCTAACATTTTCGAAAAAATGCAAATTATTTTGAAACAAATAGTAAATAAGATAATGAATTTTAAGTTGGCTAATATGCACATTCACATCTGAACAACAATGTCATTTCCAAAATATTGTCAAGGAGTCTCCTTTTGATTCTATAGCCATCCCCTGAGATTAGCCTCGTATATTTTATAAAAAGGACCTTCAGCTTTACATTTACTTTCTCTTACTTCGTTAAAGACTAGTCAATTTACCCACTTTTTCCAAGGAAAAAATAATATGAAAGGAAGGCACAGATTAAAAGAAAGCTCCTCCTTCACAAAATTTTGTAATACATTGTACCCTAAGCTAGTCAGACTTTCTCTTATTAGAATGATTTAGCTACAACATTTGTATTTTCGTTTTTAGAGGTTTGTTCTTAGGATGCTGGTTAACTTTGACAAGAAAGGACAGTAAAAATAACTATTTGGGGTGTAAACTTTCATCTTATATGTTGACATTTTGTTATAGATATTAAGTAGGTTTTCTTATTCTTTACTTAGTTAAACTCATGAAATATTTGTTGAAGGCAACCTTCTAACACTTGGAATAAGAAGGGACAATACTTAATGAATTGATACATTGAAACAAATAGAATATTAAT